TATGATAATAATTACTAAATATAAATATACCAATATAGACATTAATCCTACAATTAACGATGAGAAAATTGATATTGTAACATCTACTAAATACCTTGGCTTACAACTTCATAATTTTTTATTGTTTAGTGAACATTTTAATTATAATTAAAAAAAATATCGAAGAAACTTTACTTCTTTGCAAGAATATCAAAAAACCTATCAGCTGAAACTAAAATTACAGTTTATCGCTCAATTATTCGACCACATTTTGATTATTTTTCATCGGTTATCTTCCTTTTTAACTTAAACCAAACGACACAGTTAACAAAAACTGCAAAATCGTGGTATGAGGATTATATTGAGGTGTAGTAAATATACTCCTATATCTATCATGCATAGATCACTGCAATGGATTTCGGTTTATCAGAGACCATACTATTTGACTATGGTGTTTGTATATAAAATATTAAATGATTTGGCCCCACTTTATTTTCGAGAATATATTAATTTTAACAATCTGACTGATATATGCAGTAAATTACTTTTATATACACACTTTACAGCCCCATAAATCCAAAGGCGGAGATGAATGAAAATTGATAAGGTCTTTATTATTAATTCTTCAAAGTACCTGTTTTAATGAAGTAAATAAAAAAGGTCGAATTAACAGAACTACTAAATTGAGCAACGAGTACTTCTTGTAATCTGACTATTAAAGAACTTTTGGCGATAATGTAATGAAAATGTAATTAGGAAAAGGAGAATCGAAATTGGGATACAATAATTGTATTTCATGTAGTAAATTTTAAAAATAGAAAAAATTAGAAATGATTCTTAAATTCAAAATAATTTTTCGACGTGTAGAATAATCTTCCTCTTTGACATTGCAGTGATAACAAATATATTATGTCCTTGAATAATGAGTATAATTTTCTAATAATTATTAAATTTGTTTAAAATCCATGTATTCGATAAAAAATTAAAATAAATTTTTTACGTTTGTTTATAAAATATAAAGTACTAATTTAAATATAGGTCAATAATTTGCGATAAAAGATAAAAATGTTTTCTTAAATTAACTTTTAATTTTTACTTTCCTATCTGTATACAGATATAAGGAAAGTATAGGAATCATGATTTTTTTCGACCTCGAGTTTTCGACGGATTTTTACGTTTTGAGGTCCCCTGAATCCGTTTTGACTATTTTCGCGATGATGTCTGTGTGTGTGTGTCTATGTGTCTGTGTGTCTACCAAAAATAACAGTAACTTGCACATAGTTAGAACAAATAAACGAACATCAATGAATTCCTTATTTTTTAAATGCTTTGACCATTACAATAAATTGCCGTTTGGTATTAAAACTAGTTCGTCAGCAACAGTTTTTAAAAAGAAAATGATAAAACATGTTCATGACTGATGAAATTAGTGTAAAGTAGATTAAATGTGCAAGTCTCTTTTAAAAAAATTTATTTGATTGTATTAATATGTATTTATTGTATTTTAGACTTTTATGTTTGGAACTTTTATATGTATTTTTTTTATATTTTGGACTTTACTTGTTTTTCTGTTTTGTTCAGTCATAAATTGTAATTTTTTTCCTGATTTTTGTATTTTGAATTTGAAAAAATGTATATTAGGGTTACCTATTTCAATAAATATATATATATTTTTTAATATTGCAATTGATAAATTATTTAATTTTATCCATTCGAAAATATTTGTTAAATTTGTGAAATTTAGTAAGTACAATTTTGTGGCCAATTTTTTTTTGAATGCCTAAATATAGTTTTAAGGGCAAAATAAAACACAGTTAACACATTTGTTATTGCTATAATATAAGCATAAAGAGAGATTCGGGAATGTACATATTGCCTCATCCCCTAATTTTGGTCTTCCCCTTTTTATTTTGCTAACAGTACCATAATTAAAAAGAGTCTCATACTATTTGGAAATATCTCTAGAAAGTGCTTTATCAGCCCTAGGAATGATATGCTGTCACCGTTCTAAATGTTTTAGATCCTAGAAAAAACATTTACAATAACAAAATTGGGGTTTAACAAAAAAATAACTCTTCATCTAACATTAAAAGTTAACATTAATGTGTAATTATTGTTTGTTAGTTAGGATTTATGACTGTAAAATTTTATATTATAGAAATTAGCAATAAAATAAACTACACTCCATAAGATACGAGTTGTGACTAGTTTACAATAAATATTATATTTAGAAATAAATACATTATTTTACTTACACTAAGAGATTTAAAAAGACTTTAAATTAATTTCTCCTTGCGTTTTCTTTAGTTTTTTTACATCTGATTTATATCCCGTTTTACAATTTGGAACAAAGTAAATCTTGCTTTGATGTTTTTTGTCACTTATGTCAAGATACTGTTATGTGAGCCATTTCATTATTCATTCATGGTCTAACCCTACAAGTCCCTCTCTGTCTTATTTGGCCTTTGAGGCTCAACTTGTCCGATTATTATACATAATTAAACCCCTTAAGACCAAACCTATGGGACGACTATGGCGGAGGTGATTTCGATGCCTATTCGAGAAAGGACGAGATAATATTTCTGGACTGTTCCAAATATTTATAGTTTGGTGGAGGAGCTTCTAGACTCCACCAAACTTTAGAAATTTGTATATAAATATTGGTGGAAGAACAGAGTGCAATCAGTTATTATATGGACAGTGAAGATAAATAGTAATTAGTAGATAGACAGTGGTGAATATAAATAGTGATCAGTTTAAAGACATTCGAAGTATATATAAATTAGAATAGTTGTGTTATAAAATAAATAAGTGTTTAAATAAATTATTAATAAATAAACTGTTGTTTTAAAGTAAACAAACATCACAATACCAAGGCCACTATGTCCCCTCACAACTGTTTGATTCGCAGCCTTATTTAATACTGTGCTGTAATCTGGATATCAATCTACACAGTCCAAATTAACAGAATTAAATAGGTTTAACGAAAGTTCGTTAAATATATTCTGTTTAAGTTCCGTTTTTCATAACAAAGTACATCATACGAAAGGTGTTTGCTACTATGTGGTATGCAGTCACTTGAAGTAAAAAAGAAGCAATCTCTTCTTTTGTTCCTTTTTAAATTAACCAATTGAATAATCTCGTGCGACATTCTTTTGGAAAAGTTCACCTTTCTGATTCCTTCTTGGCGAACATGACACACTTATCTGTTCTACATTAGACAACATCGAACCAACTATGGACAAAGAGCATATTCTGACCATATTTACCTAAACTATAATCAGTTTTATCCTGAATGTGACAATGCCCTTAAAAGAACTCTTAAATTTGGCTGCTAGTGACTGTGCTTATTTTGTTTTTTAGTGTTTTTAGTGTGTTTTTCTATGTTTGTATTTTATTCAATTTTTAATTTTACTTTAGTTTAAGATTTGTATACTACTTAGGAATTGTATTTCCTGTAACGTATGTCTTCCAAATAAATAAAAAAGTAAATAAAAATAAATATAATTTGTAATATCACAACTACAATACAAGAAGCCGATCTGACATTCATGTACAGGGTTTTTCATTATATTTTGACCACTACTTATTTTCATTATTCTTGTGAACCCAAAAAAAGTTTCAAGTAAAGGCTTTGTTGTTTTACTTCAACTTTTTCGGCCACAGTATAACCCATTACAAGAAATCAACTGACAACTTTTAATTAACAAACAACTGTTTTACTTGGAAACATCATTTTCATAGCCATCTATGTGTTACGCTTTCATAGTGCAATAAGTCACTAAATAATTAAAATATTATATATTTGTAATCAGGAAATGCAAGTCTACTAAAAATGACAAAAATATATAGGATGTCCCAATAAAAGAATGAAATTATATTTTGTTGGAGGCGCGCTGTCTATACAATTCTGCCAGTTATTACATTTTTAGTTGGTACAAGTGAAACAACAAAGCTTTTACTTAAAACTTTTTTTTGTGTTCGCAATAATAATGCATATAAGTAGCGGTCAAAATATAATGAAAAACCCTGTACAGCATCATTAAAAGTTTCCAAATGAGAATTTAATAGACGACCTACAAAAATTAAAAACAAAACATCAATAAATTTATTCAAAAGTAACCTCAAACGGAACAGAGACAATTTCTTGTGATAATGTTCTTTAAACCCACCCTTTTTAAGTATTTCTTTTAATTTATTGTTGTTATTTTACCTATATTTGTTATATATTATTTCTTATTTTATTTTTAAATTATTTGAAGAGGTTATATTAATAGTAGTATTTTACTTTAAATTATTTCTATAGTTTGTTTATATAAATAAAGGAGTAATGTATGTTCAATCCTACTTGTGAAACATATGTGTTGCAATAGTTAGCCATTTCTTAATGAGAGAAATAGCTGACGTAATGGGAATGGGTATCTCAAATGACAGAGTCCACAGAATTTTAACTGAAGAATTGAAAATGAAAAATACTCGGAATGTTGGGTGCAATGATTGCTGACACCAGATCAAAAACTGAATCGTTTGGGTATTTTTCAAGACCTTTTGATCACAATCTGAAGGGCCTTTTGCAACGATCAAAACTGGGTCCACTATTATACTCCAGAAACTAAAGAAGTCTAACCAATGGACTCACCAAAGAAACAGTTTTGTCAGCAACTGTGTAAATAGTTATTTCAAGGACTTCATCAACCTATAATGAAGTCATTGCCAATTTGGACTATCACTAGAATGTGTTCGAGATAGCAGGACAATACATTAAAAATAAAAATGTTTTTGTGAAAAAAAAATAGTGTTTTTTTTTTTGTTATGCCATGTAGGTATTGAACAATCCTTGTAACTAATAGTTTTTGAAAATGGATTTGAGATCAGCATTAAATTCTCTAAAACATACCCCATTTACCCAATGTTTTATATTAAGGAAGGTACAAATGTAGAGACTCAAATTTCTGATGCATTATATATCTTATGTAAATTGGACAACATAGTGGCGAAAATGAGCTTATTTTATTACTTACTTCCTTGCTGTTACGTTTTCCTTAACAGCAGAACTATAAAAATTGTTGATAAGTTCGGATTGTGTAAAAGATTCTAGACATGAGAAAAATTTAATTTTTGGCCTTACAATTGACTCAGGTTCTAAACGTTTTCCATGAGATTCAGCCTCAGCTCTTCTTGCCTCATATGCAGAAACCTTAAAATAATACATGATTTAAATAATTACTTGAAAATCAAACTAAATATTATTATACATTGTGCAATAGTAAAATTTGATAAAAAATTACCTCATCCTTGTTAATTGCTGCATCAATTGGTATAGAAAGTGACAATATAAGCTCAGATCTAGTTAAATATTTCACCTTTTTACTAGAGCCACATTGAAATCTTTCTTCCACCTGAAATTTGAAACAATCACCAGGATTAAAGGAGTTCTTTGAATAACGCTCCAATAGAGTGAAAATATGAAGTAAAAACTCTTGAGCATCCTGTTGTTTTTTGGTAGAGAATTCAGGATGACCTCGACCAACAAGGTTTTTAAACATTTGAGGGCATATTCCAGGTGGATCGGCATCTACAGGAGATCCAGAGGGAGGAGGAACTGAGTATTTACCAGAAAGAAGACCATGGGCTAATTTGGCCCTACAAATATTTGAAAAAAAAAACAATTTCATTATATTGCATAAACATTTAAATTATATTATTAACTTACATTTGAACATTGAAGTCATCTGGAGCATCTAGACCAGCATTTTTAAAATATTCATTGCCTGCATCATAGTATTTATGGATAAAATCAGGTATTACAAAAAGCATTTGCATGACACTGTTCAAATAGCACGAATTACCCATATTAACCAAACCTGTATATCCAGGGCCATAGATGGGTTTTAGAGCACCACCACTTTCTTGCAAGGCTGCCCATTCATTGGTTTTTTGGTTTAATTCTAGTTCAAGTTCTAACATTGATTTTTCAGTTTTTTCCATATTGGCAATATTGATTCCTAAAATTATTTTACAGAAAATAGAAGCCAAATATTAGAACTTAAGACTCAATTTTAAATATATATGATATATTATCCATTATTATAAATTAACATGAATGTATTAATTACCCCAATGAGCCAAATGCTGTATCAGATTTGGATCCTCTACCATATCATCCTCACTATAACTGAACACATCAGCTTTCCCATCTTTAGTAATTGTTCCTAACTTTACAGCTAATGGATGTCCTGTAGCTTTGAAATGCTCTATAGCATGGTTGTTACCTCCAGAACCATCATAGAACTTTCTACCACACAAAATACTACCATCAGTAAGGTTCAGCCATAGATTATCAGTCTTGTCACATTTTTCACATTTCCAACCAGTTGGTGGAATTTTGATACCATTGTCAAGTTGTTTAAGACCATGAGCATGCTTTGAGACTGCTCTAACTTCACCGTCCCAAGTTCCACTTAGGGCTTCAATTTCTGCTAATTTACTAGCTGATGGTAAATCAATAATGGCCTTTACAGATAGTTTGACCTAAAGAAACAAATATCATATCTTAAATATCATCTTACTTAATTTTTGTTGATGAAGCTTACTTACTAAATAAATATACTTACTATTTCTGGCAATTCTTCATTGGGCCACTTGAAAGTAGTGAAGTTGGGTAACACTACAATTTGGTAGAAATCCTGGTATTCATACTTTTTACTAGATGTTGGATCAAACCCTCCAGCTACTCCTATTGCTAAACGAGTAATTTTTTTCTCAGGTCCATCCCCCTGTTGTGGTGATGAAACCTTTTAAACATTAAATTTTCAGAACTTAGATACAACCAAGCCACCGAGCTATAACTAAATTTTAGATAAGTCAGTAATAGTTTATTTTTAATTTAATCCTTTGACTTTATTGTAAGAAACCAATTTAACTTTAGCTACGGCATTAATCAAGTCAATGGTATGATGATGCAGAAACTTACCTCATATTTTTCTCTTCTTATATGTAAAAATACAGCTTGGCAAGTTTTTTCAAAGTACTTTTCAACGTGATCTCGTCCTAGCCCAAGAAAGGTAGTTAAACTTACATATAATCCAGTGTTGGTTTCCTATAAATTTGAAAATAATAACCTAAAATCGGCATACAAAATTTTAAAAACTACTTACTGGGTTATCAAAAGAAAAAATGCATTCATCTTTGTAGACTTTACTACTGGTATCTGGTACTTTAATGTCTTTTAAGTGCAGTGCAATTATATCCATTTTTATTAGAAGAGGTACGTACTAGAGCAAAAAACACAAAATGGACAATATTTATTTATAACATTAACGATGACATTTGACATTAATATAATAAATTTAAGTTGGGATCACTGAAATTTTCAAAAGCCAACCGAGTTAAATATAGATAAGTAACAATCTGGATTTATTTGAAGCACGGTATTTGAAGCCAAGATCTACATGATACCAATGATGTATATTCATATTGTCGTATATATTGCTCTATTGCTCACCCATATGTATGGAGCACACAGAACTGAATTTAGGAGAATGGATTTGATGTCAATACTTGCTCAAAATTTACGATTTAAAATTGAGGTTTGAGTTTGCGCAGTGAGTATCTGTTAAACATGTCATTCGTGAAAGTGATTTGAAAATAAATTTTTGGGACGATTAACCGCGTATTGTACAACCTGCCGTTAATTTTTTTTCTGAAATCATTGGTATTTATATATTTTTTTTTAATTTATGACCCTGTGTGGCACCTACTGCGCAAACTCAGAAAACCTCAATTTTATTCCCCTTATAGGAACGTTTTTCTAAACCATTCTCCTAAAGGGGTCTATTCTGTAACAATTCCTTTATATTTTAACGGCCGTTAAAATATGGGCGGCCTTTAAAAATATTTTCGTATTCGCTAATTTACTTCTGTCATTATTTAAACGGATTTCTTTAAAATAGTCCTCTAACGGGGTCTATTTCTGTAACACATCCGTTAAAATTTAGAGGCCTTTAAAAATTAAACTTTTAGCGGCCCGGTAATTTTTTTAACTAAAAATGGTATTCTGTATACACAAATTTTAGAGGCCTGTTAAAAATTATTTATTTTAACCGATTTCCTTAAAAATGGCAGGAGAACACTTGCCAACATCGCATTTAAGATTTATTTAAACTAGTTTGAAAACATAACCATATAAATCCTCAATTTTCAATTCAAAACCGTTAAAAATTAATGGCGAATTTTAAAATCCCTTTAAAAATGATTGTTATTTGAGGACTATTTTAAAGGAATCCGTTTAAATAATGACAGAAGTATGTTAGTGAATACGAATATATTTTTAAAGGCTGCCAATATTTTAACGGCCGTTTAAATATAAAGGAGTTGTTACAGAATAAACCCCAATTTCAGTTCTGTGATGGAGCATGGAGGTATGGAGTGTAGAGGTATGTTCAAAGGTATAGCCTAAAAATAAAAAACTACATTATGATAAGCCATCGTGAAAAGCGACCGAGCTTATAATCGAAGAGAAATTTTGATGGTAGATGACTGTTGCTCTGTTCCAACCTTAGACTAGGTTCCAACAACGATCTGGACCCGTATTCTGTAACTCAAGCGAGAGGTCCTGCACAAGTTCTCTCTCAATTTAGCGTTACTGCGCACGTCACTCTCCTAAAAATTACAGAACCCAGTCACTGACAGCAGGATTCTGCGCATTCTGGCGGTCATAATAATCTACTGCGCAGAATCCTGTTGTCAGTGACTTTTTTCTGATGGTTGTTGGAACAGACCTAAAAGTGCTTCTCGTCGTCCAATTTACATATAGGTGAGCTATCTTTGTAACTACATATCATCATTGGATATTTCCCTTCTAATCACTGAACTGTAACAGTCTTCATAACTGTAACATTAGTAATCTATGACTGTAACGTTCGGAGGCGCTATTAGTTTCTTTGATATTGGCAACACTGGTTATGAAAAAGGCCACAGCCACAATTTAAGTAGTTCAAATTTCAATTAAATAAAAAAAGAAGAAAGTTAACTGAGGATAGTGAAGTGTTTATAAAATTTTATTTGATTTACTAAAATGAATGAAAATATTTATCCGGTGGACAGTTTTTCCACCTACACACAATCAATGCAATATTCTAATAAACAACCAACGGCAGTTGAAACTCAATCGTATTTTTCATATTCTCCAGCGCTCTTGAACAATTTCTCTCAAAATTCAAATTATGTTGATGTCTGTGCAAATACTCCAACAACCACACATACTATTACTCGAAATCAAAATACTTGTGTGAGTTACCAAGAACAAGTGGATAATAATGTGCTTAATTGGGAGACTCGTACTATACCAGATCTAGAAAAAGTAATAAAATTTCCTGATAAAATCGAAATGATTGAAATAACGAGTAAAGACTTGAGTCCAGCTAGTTTTTGTAGTAATATTGATTTGTTAGTGCCAGAATTGTATAAAAATAACCAAGGAAAAGATTCAAATTCGTTAAATAAGTATGAAAGCCAGTGTTATTACAACCTGAGAAGCTGCAGCCAGAGAAATTTTGATTATCCCTCTTGTGTTCAATATTCCCAAAAAAATTATGAAACAGATTCTTCATTAAGGAGTTGTAATTTTACCCCTGATATATTCTTGGAAAATAATGAAATGATAACTAAAAATTCTAATTATAATAAACCATATTGTGACAACTATACTGATTACAATATGTTTAATTATTATGAGAAGGCTCAGGACCCTCAATTACCTATACAAAACGACTTTTTCAATAACCCTACAAATATTCAATTTGATCAAATAATTAACCCAATTGATCAACAAACTGAAGACTCAAATGAAGATAGTGACATTATTGTTGAAGATTCAGATGAGGAAATAAGCAACTGTGACATTCAAGACAAAAAATATCCATTTACAAAACTGAATAAGTGCCTTGTGTGCAATTTAATTTATACCCCTTTTGGTATTCAGTTCTATTTTCTAACTTCCAAAAGTCCTTTAACAATGTCAACCCAAAAACCAGTTATAGATAAAATTATAGACATAATAGGAAATATAACATCAACAAGAAATTACTTATGCAGCGAGTGTTTAGGACTAATAAATACCATAGATCACCTTCAGCTTAAGTTGAATGCTTTTAACACAGAATTTATAGCAAAATATAAAAAAACATGTACTGAAAACAACAATCAAGATGAAGTAGTAGTACAAGTAAATAATAAAGTTAAAAAGAAAATGAGATATAAATGTAAAATTTGTAAGAAAGTGTTGTGCCTTGAAAAATACTTTTTGTTCCACTTAAAAAGGCATAAAAGAACTGGCATACTTTGTGAAATGTGTGGCAAAATTTTTGTGAATAGAAAAAAGTTTATAGTTCACAAACAGAGACACATGAAAAAAAGCACCTTGCAGAAAATAGAACCATACAAATGTAATAACTGTTCAAAAGTGTTCAGAACAAATTCTCAACTAAAGTGCCATTTAAATGTTTGTTTAGGAACATTACCATATGAATGTAAGCATCACCACTGTGATAAAAAATTTGCTTCCAATACTCAACTAAAATACCACATAAAGCTTAAGCATGACAAAAAATTTGTAGCTATTTGTTCAATCTGCAACATTGGATTTGTGAAACTAGCTGCTTATAAAAATCATAAAATCACTCATACTTCAGAAAAGAAGTATTCTTGTACAAAATGTAATAAAAGTTACAAAACATTAAGCAACTTAAGATTCCATATGAAAATACATAGTGCACTGTTGCCATTTAAATGTCAAATTTGTAAAAAGGGTTTTTTAAGAAAGGACTATTTAGACACTCATATCAATAAGCACAATGGCATAAGAAATTTCAAATGTCCAGTGTGTAAGAAAAATTTTATGTCTCAGAAAAGTTTGGATGCCCATTCAAAGTATCATGAAGAATCCAAGAAGATTACTTGCAATATTTGTGGAAAAAGCATGGTAAACGGTTTTAAAGATCACTTGAGAGTTCACAATAACCTAAAGGAATTTGACTGTGATCTTTGTGATCAAAAATTTAACACTAAAGGAACTCTCAATAAGCACGTTAAGAAAAGACATAATCAACCAAAACTGTAATATTAATTAAGGTTATTTGTTTAAATTAATAAGACTGAAATTATTATATTTTCTTTTCATCTTAAATATAATTGAATAATTTTGAAAATTCTCTATTATTTTTGTAAAAGAATTTAATTTAGGAGAATTTTGTTTTAACAAATTTTAATTGAACATTTTTATAAATCTATCCCTGTCAAATGTTTAAATTTTGCAATAGTAGGTACAATTAGATATAAATAATTGAATAAATTAAAAAATGTATTTAATAAAAATTTAAATAGCACTACCAAGGTTGTTCACCATAGAACTAATCAGATTACATAAAACATTTCTCTAATATTCAAAATTTTATGATTGACATTAAATTAAACAATTATTAAGCCGGCTATGGATGATGAGCGATAATATAATACATATTATAGCTCACAAATTATAAAAATATCGCTTTGCATTAAAAAGTGCAAGTCGCCGCGCATTGATGCTATAATATATATCTATATCCCGGCGATGCCGGGTGATATATTTGATGTTGGACGAAATATGCTTTTTGAGCGATTTTTAGGATATATATTTCCCCCTCTTGTCGCGCTGCCCTCCAAGAAAGCATACCGGCGTTACTTACATGTTTGTTTTGAACCTGATTTGATACATAGATTTTGTCGGTTTGTAAAATTAGTTGCTGTTTCTGTAAAGAATATGGAATATTTCATAGAAAGTGTGAGAAAATATCCTTGTCTATGGAAAATGGATACCAATGACTACAAAAACAATGAACTGAAGAAAGCTGCCTAGAGAAACATCATAGTTGAATGCGATGTACCAGACGGTATGTTTCGTTGCCATTTATTTTTATTTAAGCATGTCAAGTATACGTCATATTTTTTAAATACACCTACGTTTTTAAATGAATACACTATAGCCATTTGACGAAACGTCGTCCAAATAGTAGAGAAATATTATCTACCATATGTTATTGCCCCAGCTTTTCAAGAAAATTGTAGGTGACTAGGTAGAGTTGAGGATTTAACGGTTCATTTTTTTATCAGTTGGATAATGTTTCACTGTCCAAGTCTATGGCTAGGTACCTACTACAGCAATAACAAATTTTTCGCCATCACCATTTTTGCAACTACACTATATAGTTCACTGGTTCAGCCTACTATATTGAAAAATTAAAAAATATATACATTCTCTTCCACTGCACTAATAATATAATATTATATCTCATTGTTGAGCTATAATTTATATTATATTATCGTTCTTCGTCCGTAGCCTGCTTTAAGAATAAATAATACTAACTATAAACTTAAAAAAAAAATATTTTGTTGTTGCCAAAATAAACATAAAAAATGGTATATATAATTTGAAATAAATTAGTTTTAAGTATAATTGTTTTTAATGTTATGTAAGTCAAATTATAAAAAGTACCTAAATTAAATTCACAGCACATTTCTTTTAACTAATCTGTCTCCATTCCTGAACCTTCTGAATCTTCTTCTTCTTCCTCCTCATCTTCACTTTCCTCTTCTTCATCCTCATTCTCTGAATCTGATCCTAACCATTCTACCTTTGAAGTATCATCAGCAATAATAGTTTTCCATTCATCTAACTTTTTTAAATCTAAAGAATAAAAGTCACTAAAAGTAATCTGTTTGTCACCATCTTCAAACATTCCTCCATACAAGTACAAGATTCCATGTTTGATGGCCAAACCACAATTCATTCTTGGAGATGGTTGAAATAAAATGGTTAAATCTTGTTTATCAAAAATGGCATTTGATTTGGAACAGGTAGGTGCAGGGCCAACAGTTACTTTAAAAATACCATCATCTGATATTGTAGTTTGTTCTATTTTTTCTTCAATTTTTTCTACTTCCATTTCTTCCTTATCATCACCTAAAATACATGTATGTAGAATTTGCTCTTTTTATGAAATACTATACACCTACCTTCTGCATCTCCTTCTTTATTTTTTCTTCTAGCCTTATTAACTTTTTCTTTTTTTCCACTGAGAGTCACATTATTCCAAATTAATTTCTCTAAATCCAATTGATAAAAATCATTAAAAAAGTTCCCAGAAAGATTTTCTTCATCATCTTCAATATCAAAAACACCACCATATGTATATGCAGTTAAATTATTGACTGTGGATACAATTGGCATACTACATCTTGATGAAAAAGATGTTCCTCCTAGTTTTACCTGAACCCATTTAAATTTTGAACCAGTAGTATCATTTTCTAAAATAATAATTGAATAATGTCATAAAAATATATAAAATCAGGAGGTCACGGACTTTTGACCGAAAATATATGATTGAATAATATTTGAACAAAATTGCAATATATCGAAAGTACAATTTATTAAATATAATTTGATCGAAATAAATGATCAAAATTATTGCTAGAGTTTAATTAATTTAAGTATCTAGTTTTTAAATGGTCTAAAATTGGTAATATTAATTTTCAAATTAACATGTAACTACGTTCAGACATGAACTGACACAGTAAAGTAACTGATTATTATCATAGGGGGTGCTCTAATCCTGCACATGAACTCAGTTGAATCTAAATGTAAAATATATTAAAGATAAATAGAAATATTTTCCTAGTATCTTAATTAAAATTGAAAAATTATACATAAAATCAGAAAAAACTTTAACTAACCTGTGCGGCCTGGAGCCATTAACTTTTTTCTAAACCAACTTTAACACATGAAATTTGCATCCAATAGGTTATGATTATCTAGGTTCATACATAAGATACCTGCAATACTCCAGAAATGCATCGCATTCAATAATTCATAGAATTATTCGATGTCAAATTTAATAATGAGCAAATTAAGAAATATCGCATTTTTAATTTAACTTGTTTCTTTTTTTATATTTAAATGTTTAATCATTTTGAAAAATTAACTAGTTTTCTTTAAAAAATAATATTATTTTTATTGTCTCAGATGCATGCTAGTATAATTTTAAATAATGTTCCTCTTTTTTCAATTATTTTTATTTCGATAAATATTTTTTTGGCCATTTGTAATTTCATATAGTTGTATTTCGAATAAATTACATTCGCCATTTTGCAATTTTCTATCATATTGTTTTAGTTGATGTATTCAATCAAAAGTTCACAACCCATAAAATCAGCAAAGTGCTTACAGTTTAATTTTACAATTATTCTTAAATACGTTTTCTTTAGGATAGTACTTACTATCTGGTGTTAACATAAATGCATCATTAAATACGTGGCCTTTATCTAAGTCTTTCTTCACTTTCTCTTTACTGTATCCACCATAAATTAAAATTTTTCCATCATTTGTTGCAACCATACAGCAACCAGACCTGGGTGATGGTGGAGTACCACTAGGTTCTAATTTAACCCACTTGTAAGTTTCTGTATTAAAACTATAGATATCATTATAGTATTTGTAATCCCTCAAATTATCATGGAACCCTCCAAAAACAAGCAGTTGCTTTTTAACTAGTACCATCCTGTGTCCACTTCGAGCACTGGGGCCATTAGAAGCTGTTATTTTTTCCCATTGTTTATTGGCTAGGTGGAACACCCAAAGATCTTTATAGTGATAAAATTGAGATTGAGTAGGAGAGGCAAATTCGCCTCCAAAAATCCACAGCTGGCCTTTGTTGGCTGAACTTGCCACCATTTGATGACCACAACGGGGTGCTGGACCATTTGGAGCTTTAACCACAGTCCAATTATCATTTGCAATGTTATAAAAAAATAAGTCACCATATACAAATGTCTGAAATGTATAAAATAATAAAAGTATATAGTTACCAACACCAGGGCCGACGAGAGGGGGGGGGGGGGCTGGCGGGACTAAATGTGATATCAAAAGGGTTTAATTTTTTTTTTTTATAAAATTGTCCTGGGGCTCCACCTGGCTCTCGGCGGCGCTGACCAACACACCTAAGTATAAAATTTTATAGAAAAAATAAGCTCTTGGGCTCTACACTGAAAATTACGGCCAATGAGTTGTCTGATACTACTTGTCAATATGTCAGGTGGTGAGTGTTCTATGGATCCCAGTAGCATAGTGTCGAGTGATTTTTTTAGTAACTGTTATTTGTTACTGATTTTTAAATATTAGTTATGTTAAGTAGTGACGTGATCACAGGTTTAAATGACCTGTTTCACTGATATGTACGTTGTAATTCTAATATGTTATGTTCAATGGTACAATAGGAACAAGATTGATCGCAGGCGCACGTCGTTGCTCTTGTACACTTATTGTACCTATTTATGAAATATGAAAGTTATGAATGAATTTAAGGAACTATTAAGAACTTAATAAATAAGAAAATGAGATATATGTCATTGAATGAATAATTTATTAAAATTATATAATTTTGTTCTTATCCTATCTTTTGACTAGTGACTGAACTTTCAATAATAGCTTTTTGGTAATTTTGAGAAATCTGTAAAATATTACTGAATATTCAAACGAATGATTGCCAATGATGAGAAGGAGAAAACGAAAAAATCATGATCACAGTTTGGTAACAACTTTAGTAACAGTTATTACCTGCTACTTTTTAATATGAGTGAAAAACTAACAGTTCATGAAATATAGCTCATCACTAGTCTAGCACAATTGATTAAAACTGTCATACAAAGGCTGTTTCAAACATACAGACATATTATAGCAGGGTCATTCAATAAGTATGTACAAGACAATCGTTCCATTCATACACTAATAAACATTCATTTTGTTAAATCCTTTCTTTCATTCTTAGTTAGTGTTAGTTCTTGTTCCTATGATAAAAGTGTTTTTCACCTAAAACCGAGTACTTTATTTCCCAAGCCACCTTGTCATAAATATATTGAAATCTTTCATACATACCTTTTGACCATTAAAAAATTCTCCACCATATAAAATAAGCTGTTCTTTATCTGGATGGGCTACAAAACTAAAATTTAATCTTCTACTTGGAGGATTAATCACAACTTCTGTTACTTGTAATCGCCTCTTTTCCTCCTTTTCTATTTGTGATAAGATATCTTCTATATCATCCTAAAGAAATAGTGGCATTAACAAAATTCTACCTTCTTAGAAATAAATATTTACCTCTCCTATTGCTTGTAATTCTTTTTTGAGTTTATTTGTTAATTTCTTTTCTGTTTTAGCTGTCGTTTTCTCAGCTCCTTTTCCTTTTTTCTTATCTTTTTTATTTTTACCCATCTTTTCATAGGTTATGTTGAAGTTGAATGTTGAAAATCCACAGACTGGCAGACCACGTGTGGGAAATCCAAATTTCCAAATCACGTGACTTTGTGACGGTGGCCTCATCACGGTTGCTAAAGACGCAGTGACATCACGGAAATGAAAAAGTGAGTTGACAGAAAATATTTTTCTTGTTGTCGTACATTAGATTTTTTAAAAAATTTAATATTTTATTGTTATTTAGTGGTGTTTATATTTTTATTTTTGAACTTTGTTTTATAATGGGTGGTATGATTGAACGTTTATGTTATCCGTAACGTACATGTTAGGCCGAGTTTTAACAGCAAAGAGACAAATTCGTATGATGTAAAGTCTTTCATAACATATTACTGTTATTTTCCGCCTGTTATGTTCTAATTTAACAGGTTTCCATCATACGAACTTGCCTCGTTACTTTTAAAATTCGGCCTAACATATACGTTACCGATAACATAAACGTTCAATCATAGGACCCAATATATAGGTAGTTTGATTTTTTGAAAGACAACAGAACATCAAGGAAAAATCATTTAATGATTTCCATCAAATTTCAAATAAATTACTTTTTATTTGAATTATAACGAGAAATATTATTGTGTGAATGGTTTATTTTAAACATTTTGGATTAGCAGGGTAAGGCCTCCGAGCTTAATTCGGATAACACTTTGTTTATATTCACAAATATTTTGAAATGTTGGCAAGTCTGTAGCTAGCCGTAGTGTTGCTGTTGCCAAATTATTTTTAATTTTTACAGACAAAAATCCTTAGAAGTAATAAAGGGACTCAGCCTAAACTGAAATTAAAGGCCTATGATAAGATTTTCGAGTATTCTTATGAAAATATAATTCACTCTATTATTAAATTAATTGCAGCTTTGTCCATTCTACATTTAAAAGCAGACGAGATGGTTTCTTACAAGCATTAAACACAACAAAAGCAAGAAACGTCAAAGGGCTTTACTAAAAGAACCTACATTATTGAAAAAAAGGGTTTGCTACGGGAAATTTTGTAGTAAAAAGTAGTTACAAAATAATCTTATAGAAGAAAACAAGGACCCGTTGGACTTAAGAAAAAACATACAATGTATATATTTATATCAAAAATATAAGATATATTTTGTTAGTTTCTAGAATGTATGAACAGTATAATTTACTTAAAAAAAAACAATAAAACAACAACCCAGTTTTATTATAATAATCTATAAATATATGTACCAAATTAGAGAAAAACAGTTGTATATATTGTATCTATACACGAGGAGATATTACATATATACATGGAGTAGGTACTTAAATAAATCATCCATGTTGAAATCCCCAGCAAGGGATATTTTAGAGCATTTCTGAGGTAAAGATAGCACCTTTTACTTGAATATCTTCTAATGAATGCTTTACAAACTTCTCAACTCAAAACGGCCCTTGTTTTCTTATTTAAAATGGTTTGTAACTAATGTATGTACTTTTTACTAAAAACTACTTGTAGCAAACCCTTTTTTAAAAAATGTATGTTCTTTTATAGTAAAGCCCTTTCACTTTTTTGCTCTCGGTTGTTTTTGTTTGCAAGAAACCATCGCATGCTTTAAAATGTAGGGTGTACAAAGCTGCAATTAAATTAAAAATAGTGAATGATATTTACAGAATAATTACTCTAAAATATTACCATTAATCCTTAATTTCAGTTTAGGCTTGGTCCCTTTATTCAAACGATTATTGAGGTCTATTCTGTAAAACATCCGTTGAAATTTAGAGGCCTTTAAAAATTTAACTCTAGCGGCCCGTTAATTTTTTTAACCAAAAATGGTATTCTGTATACATAAATTTCATAGGCTTTGTTATAAATTATTTATTTTAACGGATTCCCTTAAAAATGACAGGAGAACACTTGACAACATTGCATTTAAGATTCATTTGAACTAATGCCGCGTTTGAGAATCCACATCGGATGCATTTTTTACATCTCGAGCGTTTTTTTATCCACATCGGACACATCTGTCCCATTACATTTACGTATACTGAATCACGTGATCAAAGATTTTTTACATCTCAGATGCATCCGATGTGGATTCTCAAACGCAGCATAATTTTGAAGGATTAGAGGTTCACATTAGTAATCTATGATTAGAGGTAATAGATTAGAGGAATAAATTTGAAAATATAACCACACAAACCCTCATTTTTCAATTCAAAACCTACATATACATTAAAAATAAAAAAAAGAGTGGATAATAGCAACAGCAAAATTTGCTTCACGGTGGGAAAATAAACCTAGTAGATACAACAAAATAAGAAAAAGGACGTGGATAAAATCGCGTACGTGGGATCGGGTCGAAAATATTAAAATCCCGAACGGGCGGGGTTAAAGAAGATTACACTTAATTGGTCACTGAAATTTGATTAGGATGTTATCGTATTTTGTTTTGTACACCAAAATATAATTTGATATAATAGAAGAATTTAAATTAATGGAATCATATTTATGTACAACATATAGGTAATAGCCGAAATATAATTTTGAAAGTTAGAAAGTATTTTTTTTAAATGAAAAAAAAAATAGCTTAGGTATTATTGTTTAAATGTGTTTCAATTACTTTTTTCATTGGTATTGAAACTCCGACCACTGTTCATCTATTTCGTAGGAAGTTAATATTTCGGCAATAGACTAATTCCATTGTTAAGCTATTGCGTGTAGCTTTCATCGCGGGCTTTGAGCGCGGCGACCGAATCAAGAAATTCCGTAATTCGTAACGAAAGAAAACCTAACACCCCCCCACTCCGACCGGCACAGCGGTGCGGCGTTAAACAATATTAACTTCTCATTTATTCAATTAAAGAAAATCGAAAAATCGAAAAACCGAAAAATGGAAAAAGAAATTCCATAAGGAAAATAAACCTAACACCCCCCCTCCGATCGGCACACAAAATATGGGACCACCATATCAAGTCTCAAACTTATGTTTCTTATTTTAGTTACCTACCATAAACCTATAGTTTCAATGATAAAAATTCCTGAATAACCTACATCTATTGTAAAATAATAAAAATATTTTAAACAATATTAACTTCTCATTTATTCAATAAAAGAAAAAAATTGTTAGATATTAATTCAAATTTTTTCTTTGATATTAATTCAAGTTACACTTTTTGAGCGTGATGACCTATAAGAAGTCACCACGCTCAAAAAGTGTAACTTGAATTAATATCAAAGAAAAAACTTGAATTAATATCAAAGAAAAAAAAATACTGCATAAATAAAATAAATAAATTAATAATTATAATAGACCTATCTCCTTTTTGATGGTCTTTATTACTCATGCGCGAATCTTACCCCCTCTTAAAGTAACCAAAAATTGTTATTGTTATGTTTCCTACCCCGAGTGTCAAATGCCGATGACACGGATGACAGTCGGCAAATGTCATTGTGTTCTCGTCTTTGATAGTGATTGTTTGTTTTTGATTTTGATTATTTTATTATGGAGATGTGGCAAAAAAATCTACAGTGTATTAAACATTTTAATTTTGGCGATGCTCAAAAGTTTTTCGAGGAACATGGTTCCACCCAACAGCAGCATTCTAGGGGCTACAAGTTTTTTGTTGAAGGTTTTATTCACGATGTGTGGATAAATGAATCTAAACCTTCCGTGAAAGCGAAATGTTTTCATAGCCAGAAGAGAAATGAGAAGCCTCATAATCTCGTCCTCGAATTTAGAAAGGAAAATGATTTTTTAAACTTAAAAGAATGTCACTGCTCTTGTGAAGTTGGGTAAGTACTTATTACCTTTTTAATGCCCAATTATCGCTGATTATACATATTTGGATAAGGGTTCCGCTAGGGTCGAGATAATGATCCGAACTGTCCTAGCATCAAGACCCCCAACCCATATTTGTAGTTAATTATTGTTTATAATTTTAGGTTGTCACAGTCTTGTCATCACGTTATTGGTTTGGGATTTTATTTACAAGATAAAATACTTCGTGGAGATAGTGAAATTCCTGAATCATTATCATGTACTTCGAAACCTATAGAATGGAATAAGCCGAGAGGTTCAAAGATTGCCCCAGAAAGCGTTTTGCAGACAATTTTCCAGAAGCCCACAAACATAAATAGAAAGAAAAGACCTGTTTGTCCAAACTTATTTTCTCCAAAAACAGCGTTTGCTGGCAAGGAAGTTTCTGGAGAAACGAAAATAAAGATATTAAAAAGCAAACTCAAGAAAATCAATGAAAATATTCCATTTTCTTATATACTTAATCTAGATAACAGAGGTAAATAACATATTTTATATATTCTTGATTGTTTCAGTCATTCACCAATTATATCTTATTATTAAATTAAATTGGAAATAAATAAATCACATTCAGAACATTACAATAGTTTAATTAAAAACAAAAATTCTACATTTCTTATAAGGAAAATTGTGAGATTTTACAAAACAAGGACATTAAATTAAACCATTTAGAGACACATGAAATACCTAAATAGATTTAAAAATTTAGATAATCTGTTAAATGACCAATCAGATATCAATCATTCACCCTTTTTACCTGTTCCTAGTATTCTTGAGATAATCCCTGTAATGATAAGCTTTATTATACCATTATAAAACATATTAAATTCTTAATTACTTTAATTTTGTATATAATGTAAATTAATTATATTTGAAGAAGTTTTACTTCCTAGAATATTTTATGTTTACATATTTTTTTCTTGTAACCTGCATTATTAAAAATCTTATTTTTTTTTTAGATGAAAGCATGACAACATTAGGTATGCAGAAATTAAATGCAATGGAGGATGATATTGTTCCAATAAATTTGCCAAACATGGACATGGAGTGTATTAATATTTTAATATCCAAGCCACTGCCAAGAAAGGATTCTTTTTTTTTATTTACGATGGAAGATTCGTCTTCAATACAAGAAAGAACCAAATTGCAGAGCAATTGCAATGAATGGCACATGCTTAGACGTGAACGTTTTACATCATCTTGTTTTGGAAATTTATGCAAGAGACAGAAGGCCATTGATTTAGATTATTTTAACAAGCTTTGGGAAATCAAGAGACCTAAGTAATGTAAATGCAATACAGCATGGCAAAACACATGAAGAACATGGAAAAAATGTTTACAAAACAATAACTAAACATGATGTGTTTGATTGTGGTTTGGTTATTCATCCGTATGCCCCCTATTTAGGTGCTAGTCCAGATGGCATTATTAAGGACAAAAATGGACAATTTGGCATTTTGGAAATAAAATGTCCATATTCAAAAAAGTATAATACTTTAAAAGAAGCCTTAAAGTCCAAAACGTTTTTCTTACAGGAAGATGAGAATAAAAAACTATGTTTAAAGGAGAATCATAATTATTTTTATCAGGTGCAGGGATGTATGCTGATAACAGGTTTAAAGTGGTGCGATTTATGTGTTTATTTAAAAGAAAGTAATGAATGCCACATAATTCGGGTTGAATTCAATGAATTATTTTGTATTAATATGTATGATAAATTAACTGACTTATACAATATATATTTAAATTTTTAAATGCTTGTTTTTTTAACAATAAATCCACATCCTTCCATGTTCAAGTGTTGACTCTTTTTATCTCAGTGAATATTTGTATGAATAAATAAATTCTTTATTTAGCAAAAAAACATGCTAGTATATACAATAAGAAAGGTATTTACAAAAAATGCTTAATGTAAGTAAATATAGAAAACAAAATTTACACTTGAAAATAGTTCTTAATCTTTTTTTGAAGACTCTAATATTAGGTGATGTTTTAACAATAAAAGGTAACTATACTTTTTTAGACCTTCAACAAATATTGATTTTTTAAGTGTGCTGGTGTGACACCTATCTACATAGTAGTCCTAATTTGTCCTTAAATAGTAACATTTTAATATTTCTACAATTTATATTCACTCTTATTAACTAAAATTTAAATAATATGTATATTGCAAATAAACATTAATTAAATTAAAACTTTATTTATTTCTTTAATTCATATAAAAAATTTGTTAATAAAGAACAGACTGTAAAAATTTGATTTATAGAACCCAGTAAACAAATTGGAATTCTATTGGATAAAATTTTAAAACATTTCAACCTCCGGATTGCTCTTTCGACATGTATTCTTTCCCTAGCAATATGTCTAATATATTCAATTTCTTTAGGCTGAAACTGAATACCAGATATACGAAAAGTTGGTATATTAAGGGATATGCCCACATCTTCTAGGATGGTTTTAATATCAAATCCTTTGTCTGCTAATATTATATCACCTCTTTTTAGTTCTCCAATTTCTACCTTTTTCTTTAAAAGATTGATAAACCCACTTTCTTCTACGATTTTTTTATCGGATATGGAACCTGAAAAAAATTTCATTAAATTTCAACCCCAGTGATATGAAAATAACTTATACCTGTATAAAGAGAAGATACAAATATTACTGCACCACTTGGACTTATCATAATTAATGCTTTTAAAGTTGTTGATCCTTTATATTGTGAATAACACTGGGATTGTCGTACCAGTGAAGAAGGTGTTTGTAATAAAAATTCAGTGCAATCTATGCTACCTATTACATTTGGATATTTCCTTTTAAATACATCTGAGACTTTATCTAAAAGCACATCACGATGGGGAAATATGTTTAAACCAGCCAATTTTTCATATAATAAATTTATCCATGCTAGAAAAATCCGCCCTACTGCAGATTTTGACAATTGGAACATATCAGCTAATGTTTCATAGTCAAATCCTCTTCTTATTTTCATCAAAGTTAGAAAAAATTCATTTAAAGGAGTTAATTTATGATGTTTCCTTAAGTTTCCCTTAGCCTGTCTCTGTTGAACGACACCAACAGGTCCCTTTTCTGATTTAAATACAAAGTTATAAGCTATAATAAATATCTTCCAACTGGGAAATCCAGTATAATATGAAATTTTTTTGTCATTTTGTCTGAACTTTTCAATGCAAAAGGTTGAAATTATTTTAGCTTGTTTTCTACTGAAGATAGTTTTTCGTTTTCTTATTTGTATTGGATTATCTTCAATATGAATATTTTCTGTTGTTTCTACATTATTTAAATTTAAAGTGGGGATAACTCCAGGCTTCAATTTCACTTTTGTCGAAAAATTAAAACAATCCTCTTTTCTAAAGTGCAAGGAACATACCTATAACATAAATCTATGTAAGTCTACTATAATCAAAATTTAATATGATACTACAACTAGTAAGATTTTATTATTCTTACCTTGATATTCTCCGTTATTAAGTCAGGATTAATTTTTATTGCTGCTAACCAGAGATGTTTTATATTATTTTTGCTTGGAATGGCAAAAAAACGTTCGGTTTTTCTGTTTGGTCCAGAATTTGGACAAGTGGGTACACAACAACGCATTGTCTTGGGATTATAAAATCAAAAAATATTTTCTATAAACTCCTATGAAACTAAACAAAAATATACACTAACACCAGAGACAATCCAGCTAACACTTGGCGCGTTTTATTGCTCAATCTTTTGCCACCGGTGTGGAAAGTCTGAACAGAATGAGCGTTTTATTGTATCGATTGATTCATTCCGCTCAAACTTCTCATTCGGTGAATTTTGACCGAATGAAGGGAATGAAAAAAGTGGGGGGTATTGGTATATCAAACTTATGTGCCAAAAATACTTTATTAGTAAGGTTATGAGTTATAATACTTATAATTTTTAATTATTTTTGTCATCGTAAAATTCGTAAATCGTAATTCAATTGGGCTTTGGATCTTTGACTCTGATACAGGTTGTAAAAAATGGAACAAATTGTACAGGATGAAAGTGGACAATATTTCTGGTTCAACAAAGACAGCATATTTTATTTATTGTTTACATGTATGTAACAAATTGAGATTTCGCTATAACATCATTGGTCATACTAGAAGTAAATATTTTGAATTATTAAAAATATTACAAAATAATTTTATACTTCATTCTTCTCGATAATTAATCTAATAATGTCAACTGGAAATCTTGGTGCAGCTAATAGCAAATGATTATTAAGTTGCAATACTTCCAAATATCGGTAATAATATTTCCATTTTTAAATTAATATTAACTATTTCTGTGGGCGGGATAATGGATAAATCAAACAGATTTTAAATTTGACATTCTTGACAGATGACAATTTTATCGTTTTATTGCGTCTGCAAATTCTGTTCAAACTTTTTCTACTAGAGAATGGATGAATAAAACGCACCTACTGTTATTGTAACGATGACAGACAGGGACAACCATGGAGGGGACAACCGTTGTAGCCAACACAACAATAATTCTCTATAGGGGAGGATAAGAGAGAGAGAGAAAATAAGTTGCTTCAAAAATTACTAGATTCAAAAGACCCGCACTTTTTCGCGCATGAGTAATGCGAAATGATCGAATAAGGGGAAAGGTGTATTGCATAAGTTGATAAAAAATGCTAGATAAAGACGGCCATGATACGGACCAATCCGACTCAGCTGACTTTTGTTTATATATAAATACGGGCCAAAAATTGTTAGAAAAAGAAGATTATGCATTATTTTTTAATGTCAAATGTCATAACCGTTTATTTACAATTATAAATTTTAAAAATAATTAAATATCCCTAATGGATCCTTATTTAGAAGGTAAAAACATTTTAAATGAAGATGAAACAGGTTCTATGTACATTTTATTTTTACAGACAATGAAGGCACAGGCCTTAAAGTATGCACTGAATGTGGAAAACGTTTTCTTAATATATCCAACTTAAGAAGGCATGCAAGACAAGTGCACCCAGACAAGCTACAAGAAATAGCCCCGTTATTCTATAAAAATAAAGCTAATTTTAGTTTCTCTTGCGATATTTGTAACAAAAATTTTAATATCAAATCGCACCTTCGGCATCATATGAAGAAACACATACCGGAGGATGCTCCTTCAAATCCCGATGAAAAACCAATGAAACCATCAAAAAAATGTCCCTTATGTTCTTTTGCCATTTTTAAAGCTGTGGAACTACAAAAACATTTTGAGGAAGTTCATGAAATTACTATAAACTCTAAAGATATGGAATTTACCTCATTACAAGATTTTGAGAATTGGATGAAAAGTATAGAGAAAAAAACGCAATCAAAGTTTGTGAAAAAGGGAACCCGCAGTTTCAAAGATCATACAACAACTAAATATATTTGCCACCGTGCTGGACATTATGTACCAAGAGGCAAGGGTTTAAGAAATTTGAAAGTTAAAGGTAGTTCCAAAATAAATGGATATTGTCCTGCCAGTATAAAATTAATTCATTATAATAATGGTTTATGTTACATACATAATATTGAGACCCATGTAGGGCATTCACCAGATAACAACCTTGAATACTTGCCTCTTACAAAAGAAGACAGAGAACAAATAGCATCTCAAATTGCTAATAAAGTTCCCTTTGAAGATATTTTAGATGGCATTAGAAACTCTTCCACAAATTCTGATGTGGAAAGAATTCATTTAATAAGCAGAAAGGATTTGTATAATATACAGAAAAGTTTTAACCTATCATCAGATTTGACAAATAGTTCCATTGATGAAATTAGTCTAGAATCATGGGTTAATGCATTGAAGAATGATAATGATTGTGTAATATTTTATAAACCTCAAGGCATTGTGATGGATGACCATCCACTATTTGAAAATGAAGATTTTATATTAATGATTATGACATCAGTTCAGTGTGAATTATTGAATAAATATGGGAAACATTGCATTTGTTTGGATAGAGCACTTTCGGTTAATGGTTATAATTTTGAACTACACACTTTACTTATTCTTGATGATATCAGTGAAGGTATGCCTTGTGCTTTCTGTATCTCAAATCGATCAGACCAGGAGGTCTTTAAATTATTTTTCTGGAGCATTAAAGAGCAAACTGGAATAATTCAAACAAAAATATTTATGTCGGATGCAAACGATAGTTACTTCAATGCTTGGAAATATATTATGGGAGTACCAGAAGAAAGGTAAATTGCTAGTATTGCATTTTAAAGTGCAATTGCAGTAGAATTATGTACTCTATAGTATAACAATTTTTATTTGAGGGTGACTCATCTGAGAGACATACATTATTGCCAGCCAACCCACCATAGTGCAATTTGCAGATTAATCACCCTCAAATAAAAATCTTTATTATAGAAAGCAAATTGGGTCGAGTAGAATGTTTCCTATTTTTGCCGTGAACTTACTAAGGTTACATATACATGTCCAAGACTTGTGTGAAGATAGCGCCTGGCACTGGCGCCCAATATCAGTACTTACCCCCCTCCACAAAGAGAAGTTCACACTGCTTAAATTCATCAATACTTTGAGTAGTTACAATTTTTCATTTAGGTACTTAATGGGGTCTATTCTGTAAAAAATCCGTTAAAATTTAAAGGCCTTTAAAAATTTAACTTTTAGCGGCCCGTTCATTTTTTTAACCAGAAATGGTATTCTGTATACATAAATTTTAGACGCCTGTTAAAAATTATTTATTTTAACGGAGTCCCTTAAAAATTACAAGAGAACACTGGACAACATTGCATTTAAGATTCATTTGAACTAATTTTGAAAGATTAGAAGAATAAATTTGAAAACATAACCTTACAAACCCTCAATTTTCAATTGAAAACCAAAACATACCTACATACATTATAAATAAAAAAATGTATGGCCCACCAAGAACTACTAAAAACCAAAAACAGTAGATGAAAAACTTCTTAGAACAGCTAAATTTGCTTCACCATGGGAAAATAAATCTAGTAGATACAATGAAATAAAAAAAAGAGGGAATTAAATAAAATTGGTCCCAGACATCTTCTAGGAAAATTATATTTGTTGTAAAATCTGTTTATTATATTATTTCTTTTATTTTCCAAATTAGGAAATACAAATTGGGTAACAGGTTACTGTAAATTATATTTGTTACCTCATCTATAGGTACTTCTACTCATAATTGATTGACAAAGCAAAATGATTCCTGTCCTGCAGATAGCTGGGTATCCTTATCCATCCTCTTGTTCCAAAAAAAGAGTTGCAAGTACTTTTAAATATGCTGGTTAGCCGTATTTCTTCGAGATGGCCCCATTAGTGGTTATATAATATTAACTATAGTTCTATCTACAACAATAAAAATCGAATTTTACATTTTGTAGTCCCTATAATTGACCTTTGATGTAATTGAAATTCGGTTCTGAAATATTAAATGTAATAGATGTACCTACATTATGTTTTGTACTTTATTATAGCTTTCTTCATTTTCCAATAACTCTTCAATCAAAATTTTTCCAATTATATTATAAAACGCCATTCTCGCTTCCATTAAAAATTAAAGGTGAATTTTAACATGTCTTTAAAAATGATTATTATTAGAGGACAGAAGTCAATTAGCGAATACGATCATATTTTTAAAGGCCGCCAATATTTTAATGGCCCTTAAAATATAAAGAAATTGTTACAGAATAGACCCCATTAATGAGTAAAATTTATAATATGTAACGAGATGATATAAATTGAACATAAAAGTATATCAATATAATTTTACGTATCCACAGCGTTTTTATATTATATATATTCTGGCTTTGAGGATTTTTAAGACCTATGAGGACTATAGGTAATATTATTGACGAGGGAATTATTTTTGTACGAGAAAATGATGCGTTGTACCAAATTCTGGTCATGTGGGATTTAATTTGCTACTTGAGGACTACTTTTTCTAAAAATGGTGGTTTTCTAAAACCCCGGTGTCATAGATTAAAACGCACCCCTAAATATTATTTTTTACGAGGAAACGGCGCTTTGTGCCACATTCTGACTAAATGGGATTTAATCAGGTACCTCACGACTACATTCTCTAAAAATTTCAGTTTCCTAATACCCCGGCGTCATAGGTTAAAACGCACCCCTAAATATATATTATTTTGTTAGGAGAAAATTATGCGTAGTGCCATAATCTGGTTATTTGGGATTTAATATGTTACTTGACGAGTACTTTTTCTCAAAATAGCGGTTTTCGGAAACCCCGGCGTCATAGAATCAAAAGCACCCCTAAAAAATTATTATTTTATTACGAAAAAACTGTGCATTGTGTCATATACTGACTAAGTGGAATTTAATCATGTACTTGACGACTACATTCTCTAAAAATTTCAGTTTTCTAAAACCCCGGCGACATAGGTTAAAACGCACTCCTAAATATGTATTATTTTTTACGAGAAAATTATGCGTTGTGCCATATTCTGGTTATTTGATATTCAATCTGCTACTTGAGGACTACTTTATCATAAAATAGCGGTTTTCTAAAACCCCGGCGTCATAGATTAAAAAGCACCCCTAAAAGAGTATTATTTTTTTACGAGGAAACGGCGCTTTGTGCCACATTCTGACTAAATGGGAGTTAATCAGGTACCTCACCACTACATTCCCTGAAAATTTCAGTTTTCTAAAACCCTGGCGTCATAGGTTAAAACACACCCCTAAATATTAATTATTTTTTCACGAGAATATTATGCGTTGTGCCATATTCTGGTTATTTGGGATTTAATATGTTTCTTGACGAATACTTTCACTAAAAATATTAGGTTTTCTAAAAGCCCGGCGTCATAGATTAAAAAGCACCCCTAAAAGATTATGTTTTTATGAGGAAACGGCGTTTTGTGTCACATTCTGGCTAAGAGGGAGTTAATCAGGTACCTCACAACTACATTCCCTAAAAACTTCAGTTTTCTAAAACTCCGGCGTCATAGGTTAAAACGCACCCCTAAATATATATTATTTTTTTACGAGAAAATTATGCGTTGTGCCATATTCTGATTATTTGGAATTAACTACTTGGGGCTAATTTTTCTAAAAATCATAGATTAAACCGCAGAAAAAGTAGTCCTCATGTAGCAGATTAAATTCCAAACAACCAGAATATGGCACATCGCATAATATTCTCGTAAAAAAAATAATACATATTTAGGGGTGCGTTTTAACCTATGACGCCGGGGTTTTAGAAAACTGAATTTTTTAGAGAATGTAGTCGTCATGTACCTGATTAAATTCTACTTAGTTAGTATATGGCACAAAGCACCGTTTTCTCGTAAAAAAATAATAATCTTTTATTGGTGCTTTTTAATTTATGACGCTGGGGTTTTCGAAAACCGCTATTTTGAGAAAAAGTAGTCGTCAAGTAGCATATTAAATCTCAAATAACCAGAATATGGCACAACGCATAATTTTCTCGTAAAAAAATAATATATATTTAGGGGTGTGTTTTAACCTATGACGCCAGGATTTTAGAAAACAGAAATTTTTAGGGATTGTAGTTGTGAAGTATGTGATAAAATCCTACTTAGTCAGAATGTGTCACAAAGCGCCGTTTCCTCGTAAAAAATAATAATATTTAGGGGTGCTTTTTAATCTATGACGCTGGGTTTTAGAAAACCGCCATTTTTAGAAAAAGTAGTCCTCAAGTAGCAGATTAAATCCCACATAACCAGAATTTGGTACAAAGCATCATTTTCTCGTACAAAAATAATTACCTCGTCTATAATCGTCTATAGTCCTCATAGGTCTTAAAAATCCGCACAGCCAGAAAATATCTGATATAAAAACGCTGTGGTTACGTAAAATTATATTGATATATTTTTATGTTCAATTTATATCATCTCATTACATATTATTATAAATTTTACTCATTAATAAGTACCTAAATGAAAAATTGTAGCTACTCAAAGTATTGATGAATTTAAGCAGTGTGAACTTCTCTTTGTGGAGGGGGGTAAACGCTGATATTGGGCGCCAGCGCCGGGCGCTTACTTCACACAAGTATGTCCAAGTGCTTATATTTTGTTTTCCTTTCTGTTTGTAAAATATTCTTCCTTTTTTTAGGCTTTTCTGTTTGTGGCATTTAGATTATGCTTGGAAAATGAACTTAAAAAAAATTAAATCAAAAGAAAAACAGGTACACACATTCAGTATACATTTCAAGCTTTTGTTTAATAATTTCTTTTTAGGTTATAATTTATAAAAAGCTGAGAGTATTACTAAAAGAAAGAGATTCTGGCATATTTATGAAAATGATTAATAATTTTTGTGAAGTATCTGCTGAGGATCCAGAGACCAAAGACTTTTCTAAATTCTTTATAGATACTTATTCTGCAAACTTTGACTGTTGGGCTCATAGTTATAGGTTGCATTCTAGAATAAATACAGATTTGCATTTAGAAAGAATTCATAAAACTATAAAAAATATATTTCTGAAGGGAAAGAATGCCAAAAGGATAGATGTGGCTATTTCTGAAATAATGCGTTGCTTCCGAGAGAAACTTTTAGACAGGATATTATTTATTAATAAGGGAAAATATTTCTTTAAGTATTTGCAATCTAGACATCAAGACAGTCTTGCTTTAAATGCAGATATAATTAGTACATCAGAAGATGGCTGGGTTGTTCCATCTCAAACAAGTCAGGAAACTTATCTAATTCAGGAAGTAAATCAAACATGTAATTGTGATATAATGTGTACAGAATGTAACAACACATGCATACATAGATATTGCTGTTCCTGTATTGATTCATGTATTAAATTCAATTTATGTAAACATATTCATCTATTAGCTAGTTGGAGAAAACAATCTGTTTCGAATAATGAAATTGAAGGTAAGAAAGTATTAACATACTTTAATACATAAAAAATAATTTAATAGTTGTAATTTGTCATTTTATCTACTATTTATCTGGTTTAACAAATTATTTTTTAATTATGTACTATTTTAGTTATTCTGTTAATGGGATAAAATCTGTTTACATTTACCCCACAAATGTAAACAGATTTTGCATTTTTAAAATGTTAAATTAACAATAATATATTCCGACATATGTAAAGGTGACTTGTTTTACACAACACACCTACATGTAATTCGTGGTTTTTCTGGGGTCGCCAAGAAAATGTACTAAAATAAATACGCCAGGTTTCATATCACTCCATTGAGGCTGTTCATAATCTACTTTGTAGTTATATTTTTCTACTTCCACTCAATCCTCAAAATTATCTTACTCTTCGTTCTCTTTCTCTATTTCTTGTAAAACAGACATCTGAATCATCAGATTCACTGGCATCTCTAATTCTGTTTTTCCTTATTTCTTGTTTTTTTTTTTGACGTACTTTGTTCATTTTCTTCTCATCAGCTTCTTTAAGACGTAACTTCAGCAGTTTTAAGCATTTCACAATAACTGGCAAATTTTAATAATGCTATTAATTTTTTGTTGGGTGTTTTGTTTGAACTTGACAACTCCTTTAGTTTAACCAAATTTGTTAAAAATATGTCAATAATTTTTCTAGGTGTTGCTGGTGGTGTCTTCCTGAGGCGACTTTAATGGGATGAAATCAAGGTCTATAGTTTATTTTAAAATTATATAAAAATATAGACCTGTGCCATAAAAACTGTGCTATCATGCATTTTCAAATAAACTATAAAGGCGGATTCCATGGCACGTGGATTGGGCTCGTCGAGGCTCGGCTCGATAATCAAGGCTCGGCAAGTGAATGCGATCCCACGACGTGTGTGAGTTCCGACTCGAGACCTACAAAACTCGGCCAGCTTAGACTTGCATCAAATTTACCGACAACACGCGGGAAATACCAAGCCGCGCCAGAAATGACGCGCCAGCCCATTATATATATAAAGTTCTAGCTCTTTGGGATCAAATTCACAAGTTGAAAATTTGTCTGGATTATATGGGTATGGACCTGTCAGGGTAAATTCTGCTTTAATCTTTTCCGACTTCATAGATTCGACCCATACTTCTCCCAACAATTTAGCAAATTCGTTTTTTGTAATCTACCAGATCCCTTGCTTATTTGTTTTTTACCAAAGACACTTAGCTTCTTTTCTCAGGCAGTTTTTATGGGACCAAACACATTTTTATCAAGAATTTGCCACTTAAATGACTTTAAATTTAATTTAATTAATTCGATTTTATGGCACAATGAACTCTATTGTTGATATGATTTGTGCTTCCATCAAATAGTAACAGCACTTTTTGATCTAAAATATCTTTCTTCTCGAAGTTTGGTAACATGTGAAACAAAACAGCCATGAAACCACTGTTAAAATTGTGGTTCTTCCATTCATTTTTTAAGCACGAATAAATCGTTTCCGGATAGGAAGATTCCGATACCCAGCAGACCTTTGTAAACAATCATTGGTGCTAGAAAATATCTGTCAGCTGAAATATATGCAAGTAAGTCGTTGAATCTCGTACTGAATCATCTGAAACTCGCCTTTTCCCCAGTGACTTTTAATTAATCTGGATGGACCATAAGGAAAGCCTGATTAATCATAGTTAAAACAAATGATTCCTTATTGTCGCACAAATCACTGTATTTCAAGATTTTGCTCAGTTGATCATAAAAATTATATTTTTTGAATGATAAATCTGGATGTTTTCATTTTTTTTTACATATTCTCCTATTAATTATAGCAGCTCTTCACGAATGGCCCATTCTGGCTCTTAGGTTAGGTTGAAAATGAGTGGGATGATCTCATCGCCTTCCACTGTGTCCCAGATGGATCTATTGTAGGTCTTGCTTTAAAACATTTTTGTTTTTCTGTTTCTCTAGGAAGTGCTGAACTACGACCATTTCCAATTCTGTCCAATGGAACTTTTCTTCCTTTAATCCTATTAAAAATAACAGATATCGGAACACCATATTTTCCATAAGTATGAAAAAAAGTCGAAGTAAAATATTTCTATAAGTACTATTCAAATTTATGTCATCTCTAACAGCACAAATTAGGTACGTCGTTCATAATATAGGTAAGCCAACGTCTTCTTCTCTCACACATTCTTGGGATTTACAAGAAGTATCAATTATCCTCTAAAAAATTGATTACTAGAATGTTTTCATTTAACCCAGTTTATTGTTTAAATTTGCCCACATTTGTATATAATTCGGAGTAAATGTAAAGAAGGTTTTGCAAATTTTGAAGGTTACAAACTTGCATTTCGAAAACCATATACACATGCTTTATCTGTATCTGTAACGTGCGGCACTTAGGCCTCACTAGATTCATTGTGCATCCTCCTATGATGATAAGACACCTCCTAGCTCGTGAGCCAGCCTACATATTTAATGTAGTTGGCAACGTCGCCAAGAGGTGCTTCTCTTATATCGGCCGGTGTTAGCCGATACTCGCCGAACACAAATCTCCTTATAAATGAGAGCATCGAGCAATCGTAGAGGATATGCTCGATGATCTCATCTTCTTGTTCGCTCCCCCTGCAGAGTGCGGATTCTAACAGCCCCATGATAAGGAGATGCTTCCGTACCTGGCAATAACCAGTCAGAATGCCTGTGACCCTGCGCAGATTATGTCTAGTCATAGTCAAGTATTTATTTGCTGCAGTGTTGTCAGGATAACTTAAAAGCTCCCTGGCAACTCTGCAGTTTCTTGTTTCATCCCATCTTTCCTTGAATTTCGCAAGGGAATGTTTTTTAATTAGGTCTGTCACTACCGATTTTGTCAGACCAATAGAAGGGCCAAGACCAAGACGGTTACCTTTCGATGTGGCGTGACCTTTGATCCATCTTAAAGTGACCACATTGGTGATGGATACTTTATCAAAAGCTTCGTGACATTCTAGTACTAACCCTGAGTAAATTCGTGGTCTGTTCAGGGTGAGTAGTGCTTGTCTGTTATCTGTATAGATAAGCATGTTCCTTCTAGTGATATTGTTTCTGGTGATTTATTTTGCTGCTATGAGAATCCCCGTGAGCTCTGTTTGAACTACACTGGCACTATTGCTCACAGCCCATTTTATGTTTAGGTTTAAGGATCTAGAGTATATTCCACATCCTGAGTCTTGTTTTGTTTTAGAACCGTCGGTGTAGATATGAATCGTACCTGCCACTTCCGTCTCTTCTATTTGTTCTGTTACAACTTTATATGGCTTATGGAAGATATATCTCAATGAGATGGAGTCCATGTTCGCTTGAAGCAGTGGGGGCGTATCGAGCGTCTCCTGTCAAGAGCCACTTCTCGCCTCACCAGATCCTACATCAGGTTCTATTCCAACCGTGCGTAAGCGTGTTATTGTCGTCAGAGCAATCTCCTTGATGTAAATATCAAGGGGAGTGAGACTAAGAATGACTTCCATGGCTCTGGTTGGTGTTGTTTTTATGGCTCCTGTTATGTTGAGACATGCTGTTCTTTGAATTTGTTCTAGTTTGTGGATAGCTGTCAATTTTTGGGTTTTCGATACCCAGACAACTGCACCGTATGTTAGCATAGGCCTTATGATAGCCGTGTAAGTCTACGCGACGACTCTGGAAGAGAAACCCCAGGTGCGCCCCACGTTTCGGCGGCATTGTTCATAAGAAATTTATGCTTTTTTGACTCTGTTTTCCAAATGCGAGTTCCATGTTAACTTGCTGTCAAAGGTACTTCACCTCTGTTGCAAAGTTTAATTTTGTGTTTAGGAGTTCTGGAGGTTTTAATTCCATTTTTATCCTTTTCCTTGTGAAAAGAATCATTTCTGTTTTTTTTTAGGATTGATAGACAGTGAATGGTCCTTGCATCACTGTTTTATAATTGTGAGAGCTACTTGAATTATTTCGCAGAGTATGTTCTCAAAATTCCCTGTGGACATCCCCTCGCAACCAAGCCTCTTATATTCACATCTTCTACACTTATGTTTACTGTTTGCTTTGAGAGCATGTTATGTATCCACCCACTAACCATCTGTGGAATATTCCTGTTGGTTAGTAAGTGTATTATCTTGGGGAAGGTGGTTTTATCAAAAGCACATTCTATGTCTATGAAAACACCCAAGGCAGACTCCTTATTGTCCAGGGATCTCTCTATCCGGCCAGCAACTAGATGAAGGGCTGAATCAGTAGATTTACCTGGGGTGTATGCATGTTGGTTTGGGTGTAGTGATGTTGTAATCACTACATACCTTATGTACCTTTCGCATAGCCTTTCCAATGTCTTCATGGAAAACGATGTCAGACTAATTGGTCGATATGTTTTTGGGACAGTATAATCCATCATTCCAGGTTTGGGTATGAATACCACTTTTACCTCTCCATTTTTTGGGTATATACCTCAGAGCCAACGAGGATCTGAATATACCCACCAGGTATTTTACTTTAGTACATAATAATCACTTACCTCAAGTAGTTTCAGCACGATTTTTTAAAACTTTATCACTTCATTTGACAGAATTTTATGAAAGCTTTAACTAAACACCTTCAACAGACGAACAGTAGGTCAGCCATAATCAAAGCATATGTCTGATAATGTGAAAAAGTGCAATCTAGCCGAGAATTGCGATAGTAGTTATAGAACACTTTGAACTGTTTACATTTACCCCAGCTAACCCTACTAATTTTAATTTTTAGGTGAAGACTATGTTGACAATTATATTATACAAATGGACAATCACTCAAATGATAATGAGTCGGAAGTTATTGTACACCTAGCTAAGAGAAGATTAGAAGACGAAAAAGAGGAATTAAAAAAACGAGTCTGTTCATATTTGGATGCAATTCAGTCAGCAGAAGAATTAGAACTGGCGAAAAAAATGTTGGCACCCCTTACTCTTTCATTGTCTACTGAAGAGATGAAACTGAAACCCCAAACTTTTATAACAACAGATGTAACCAATTTGACTGATCAATATATTACATATGAGCCAACAAATTTTCAATCGTTGCATCAAATATGAATTATTTGCCCATGAACTTTTCGATAATTGGACTGAAATGAATGGACTATTCAGTCTGAGAAGACATCGTGAAAAATGCCTCTTGAGAAGATATGTGGTATACTGTATGTTAATTATACAGTTTTGGAATCTAGGAATTTGGAAAACTAGCTTTACTTGAAAATCACAGTTAGTTTTTGCATGAGTATTTTATGTATTCTCATTGTTTATTAATATTGTATTAATAATATGTGGAAAATACACAATTTAAAGCCAACTGGTTTTAATTATCTGTAGACAAAACCTTGTCCTAAAAAGAAATTTGTATTATAAGAAAAATAAGGTTGTAAGATGAGTTACAAAAAAAATTTGCTTTTCTGTCTATGGACAAAATAAAAAATTTAATTGATCTATAATATACAGGGTTGGCAGGTACAGGTTTTTAAAAAACTTGAAATTGAAAATTTTGCAATTTTAGCTTCTTTAAGATAAATATTTAGAATTCACAATTTTACTACTTTTCAATGTTCATTATAAAAAATACTTTTTATATTTAAATTTTGCTTGTATTTTACTAACTACGGAAATGTGAACTGAACTTTTATTTCATAATCGATTATATTTTATAATAAATGTTTTATTAAAAATTGTTTTTAGCCGAATTACCTGATATTATAAATTATGTCACATATTTATTAACAGGATTATATACCAACCCTGGATTATATAAAATTTATTTCAATAGAATAAAATACTTTATTTACCTGTTTATAATTACATAAATGGTTTTGGATCGTTCTTGGAACAAACCTATGGAGATTGAACACTTTGAAACTATACCCCTCTATATGGGGGTGACAATTTAAAAATAAAACTTAACAATGGCTGCATCTCATGAAATAGAGATAGTATCTGAAAATGCTATAGGATATGAAGAGGGAACTTAATGACAAAATACAGAAATCAACCCCATATGAGACACCTACCTCAACAAAAAAAAATAGCAGCAAATCATTAGAAAACTAGTAAAAATGCCTTTCAATGATATAAGTTATTGTGATGTTTGTTTATTTTAAACAACAGTTTATTTATTAATAATTTATTTAAACACTTATTTATTTTATAACATTACTATTCTAATTTATATATATATTTCGAATGTCTTTAAACTGTTCACTATTTATCTTCACTGCCCATATAATAACTGATTTTCGTTGATCCTCCACCAATATTTATATACAAATTGGTGATCCAGAATGCTCCTCCACCAAAACATCTCATATCCGGAATAGACCAGAGGTATTGTCTGAAGAACATCTAAGGCGTCTCCTCGAAGGGCGATTGTCAGATTCACTGTCTTTTCTCGTTCAGACCATTTGTTTGCTCTGGCAGCTGTTTCGAACTGCTTAAGGTAGTTCGTCCATGACATCTTCCCGTCAAAAGTTGGGGCTTTAACACGAGGAGAGTTTATAGCTTCTTCCAATTTCAACTTCGACTCCACCTCATGGCACTTTATTTCACCGTCCTTGGCCGGTTTTGTATGTTCCAGTTCTTCTATCTTCTTTACCATCTCTTTTATTTTATTCTCTACAGAAGATATCTTGTCTTCCGCATCAGCAGAGATTTAATTTTTTAGAGAAAACATCAGAAGAAATTTCATCTTTCAATGAACAGATTTTATTTTCCAAATCGGGAGAAATTTCGGTTTTTAAAGAAGATATGTCAGAAGTCACCTTTTCTTCTAAGGAAGAAATATCGGACGAAACTTTACTTTCTAAGGAAGTAAAATCATTTTTTATAGAAGAAACTTCTGAAGAAACTTTATTTTCCAATAAGGAAATATTAGAAGAAATATCGGTTTTCATAGAAGACATATCAGAAGAAATTGAAGAAATTATAGCAGACGCATCATCCGAAAATAGAAACGTTTCCGGATCCAAACCTTCATTTTCTAGTGCTTTTTTGAGTCGTTCTGCCAGCTCTGATTTCTTCCCTGTCGTCTCCAGTTCACGTTCTTCTAATTCTCGACGTAGCTCAGGCACTTTTAAGTCACACAGTTTTTTAGCCATTATTGTCCACTATTTATTTACATTATCTCACTTCTCGACACCAATGTGATGTTTGTTTATTTTAAACAACAGTTTATTTATTAATAATTTATTTAAACACTTATTTATTTTATAACAATACTATTCTAATTTATATATATTTCGAATGTCTTTAAACTGTTCTATTTATCTTCACTGTCCATATAATAACTGATTTTCGTTGATCCTCCACCAATATTTATATACAAATTGGTGATCCAGAATGCTCCTCCACCAAAACAACCCATATCCGGAATAGACCAGAAATATTATCACGATGACTCAGGAATGTTCGCGAAAGTGCCTCCGCCATAGTCGTCACATATGTTTGGTCTTAAGGGGTGTAATTATTATTATTACAAATAAATTAGGGCTGAGGAATGAATCCTATTAAGCCCAAAATTACAAGTTTAATGACAAAGACAATTATCAAATAAGTAATTAGCAAATAACATATTGCAAACAAAGCACTAAAAATAAACTTTAGTTTTCTTTAAAAAAGTCATTGAGTCGGTTTTTGAATACATTTACAGACTGTGCGCGAACAACACTCGAGGGTAAATTATTCCAAGTATAGAAAACTCTATTACAAAAAAAGTTTTGTCGGGTACGTGTTTTAAAATTTTCTTTGCTCAACTTATACTCATGTCCACGTAGGCGCTCATCTGTATTCCGTGGGAGTATACTATAGAGGTTGGATGAAAAAGTACCGTGAAGAATTCTGTAGGTCACAATTAAATCACCTCTTAATTTTCTGTGGGAAAATGAACACAAATTCGCCATGCTAAGCCGTTCTTCATACGATGGTCGCTGATTCTGCCGAAAGGTATTCGAGTAGCGTAGCGTTGAACATTTTTCAATCTTTTTTGATCAGAAACCAGATCAGGACACCACGCAGGTCCGACATATTCCATCAGCAGTCTAACGTAAGTTGTATAAAGTTTAGAAAATGTTTGAAAGTTCACACGCGTGAAGGATTTTTTTAATAGGTAGAGCATTGGGTTCGAACGTTTACATACCGCTGATATGTGCTCTGACCACGTTAATGAAGAGTTCACAATGAGTCCCAGGTCGTTATAGAAGTTCACAGTTGCTAACGCACTACCGTTTAAATAATAGTTCACGCACGGGTTATTTTTTCCTATATGCAGGACGACACATTTTTCCGCGTTTAAAGGAAGCAGCCAGATGTCACACCAGTTTGAAATAGTTTTAAGGTCTTTTTGTAGCTGGGTAGAATCTGTCACAGGATTAGAGTATAGCTTAGTGTCATTATCAGCATAACACGAAATATTAGAATTTAAGTCTTTGCCTAGATCTGCAGCGTATACCAAGAATAGTAATGGCCCTATGACAGAGCCTTGAGGGACACCACTCAGAACTGGATACTCTGACGAGAACATCTGTCCAACTTTTACCTTGAAGATGCGATTTGACAAAAAATCACTTATCCAGAGAAGTAAAGAGCCGCGAATGCCAGCTTTTTCCAACTTATAAAGCAATCTCTTTTTGGGAACACGATCAAAGGCTTTAGCAAAATCAAGATATATGACATCGACAGGCTCTTTATTGTCCACAGACGTAGTCCAATCGTTTAAACAGGTCATTAGGTTTGTTAATGTGGATCCTTAGATAATATAATAGCAGATAGGCCACCACTGCATAAAGTTATACAATATTAATGTCGCTATCATATAATCAGTATCTCTCTTTCTAATGAAGACTTTCTCACTCGTTTTAGAATTCTCAGCAGTAGCGTACCGTAAAACAATTTCGCTGGGTCATTTTAAATGCGAAAATGTTGACCAAGTAGAATATAAAATAAAATGTTTTAAAAGGTAGGTAGGTGCATTTTTAATGAAGTGAAAACAAAATATGACTTTTTTGTTATGAATATAATATTAATAACAATTACTTTTAACACCACAACACGAACAAATTTAAATTAAACACTGGAATAATTGTCTGAGAAAAGCTTTCCCAATAAACACAAACTTCCGGCGCGATAACGGCCCGAAAGCGTAAAACCGAAATACCACGTTCGGGCCGAATATGGCAGCCGCCGCGGCTGACTAGTAGGGCATGTCCGCCCCACCGAACGTCGGCTAAATAGCGGCAAAAAGAGGCGATTTTGCTACCGGGCGGCTCGCGGCCCGTGCGTTGTTACCTAGTCTGACCCATACTCGGCAAATAGGTGGCACCGTTAACAATGCCGAGTGTCGGCGTCGGCGCAAATGCGGTATGATAGCATCCGAACCGCAAATACAAGGTGGCTTCCTTAAATGGTACTAACATTGGTATCCCAAACGAGTCCAACTGAAAAATACCAAATGAAATGATTTTTAAGAAATTGTAAGAAAATTATTTTAAATACAGAAGTTGTGAGAAACTTTTTTAATTTTCAAGCAACTGCATTTAATACTGCATGAATCAATTTATTAACGTGTTTCAGTGTTTAAACAACAGTAGATTTTTAAATTGTGCTCAAACAAAAATCACACATGCAGTATCAAGCACAGTTAAGTATTAATGCAAAAAGGTACATATATTTTTCAAATAATAAACTTACAGGTGGTCAATAACTTAGCTACTGAATATCCAAATGTTAGTGCCATTTAAGGAGCCACTTTGTGTGAATCAGAATTTAATTGCAAGTATACAGAAACAACTAGTTATTCTTTAAGTTAAAAAATTAAATACAAACACAAAATGGTGATAAAAGTTAAACTTTTATTTTTCGAACTTATTTATAGAAAAAAATAAAATAATTTCACATTTATCCTGGAACATATTTGAACTATTAAACCAACTATAACAAAAACTGAATAAAGACAGAGTGCACCTACAATTAACAAAACTGTAACGAATAACGAAATATATGCCGCCAATAAATTGACAAACGTGATGAGGATTGGAGGTTAGAGGTAGAAGTACATTTCTTCTTTTTTCTTCTTCATTTTTATAATCAATAATCGGATACAGATTCTTCGGCAATTCGGCAAAGATCCGACACGGGCTAACGACAGGCTAGCCTGAGCTGGTTAGAAATCGGAACCCCGTCTTCGGGAAGCCGTAGCGCGACCCTGAGCTGGTTAGAAATCGGAACCCCGTCTTCGGGAAGCCGTAGCGCAACCCAGAGCTGGTTAGAAATCGGAACCCCGTCTTCGGGAAGCCGTAGCGCAACCATACG